GACTACAGCCTATAAGGAAGAAATTCCATTTCTTGAAGAAACAAAGTATTAAATGAAAGCAGTCGACATGCAAAGCTCTTCTATCAAACACAGACTACGTACATTTTATTCACACTGCAACAGCAATGTCCCTACATTTCAGACTTTATCACAAAAATTATAAAATACCCAAAAGGGTTTTCCTTTAGACTGTCCGATTTCGTTGCTGACAACCAGATCCTATGTCACGCGCAGACAAACAAACAGGAGTAATTAAACAACCTCAATTATGGCACCCTTTAAGAGCTCTCTTACAAACTTCCTGGAGAGCCCAGAGGAAGTTTTTGATGCGTGCCGTATAACGGGTCTGGTTCTTGATACGTCCCCAAGACTTCTTTATTATTGATAACGTACGGCTTACTTTGTATCACTACATAGCACAAGGGGCAACTATACAGCCATACGGATAAGCTAGTAAATCTGTTCACTGTCAAAAACTAGTCTTGGGACTTAGCTTTTTTATTTGGTAGAGGTTTAGATGCGTGTTCCTTGTGCAGGAAAGATTCAAGGAGGTCAGCCGAAAAGTGACAACTTTACCTAAAGATATGCAAATAACCATTACAATGTCAATTACCTACGTCATGAAAAATATTCACATTTAAAAAAAACGAAAAGGTCATGTAGCCTTTACATAATACTCAGGCATAGTCTTTGAAAAGGTTTATATTCTGTAAGTGGAATATTGTTGCTGTCTGTAATTAAAACTATGTAGGCCCTAAATAAAATCCACAAAAATTAAGCACTTTGCCAATAAAGATTTTTATAACCTACATTTCATCTTGCTTTTGCCTCTGCCACAGAGAAAAACATCATTTAAATCTCTAACAAAACCATCATTTTATATTTGAGTTCATTTTATATTTGAGTTCAAAAGAAAACGAAATGATTTTTATTTTGAAAGGAGTTGCAAAGGAAATGAATCAATATAACTCTCCTCCAAATGGTGACATTGGGCCTCTTTTAACGAGGTATTAATTCGTAATATACATTCAACCGCAAATAAGAATAAGGCAGTTCAACACAAAGGGACAGTTTAGTTATGAGGGGAATATTCCTCCAAATGTGAGTTCCACATCGACTTTTACAAATGTACTTCACCATTTAAATGATGAGACCTTCGCTATCCCACTACTCACACAAAGTAAGCTTTTGAGAACATTAAAATTTTGTGTAAATCTCAATGAGAACAATTTGACCTCACATATTATTTTGCAGTTTTTATACTCTCCTCAATTTGATAATCCCCTGCAAGATGTTTGCATTAAAATGAGTCTGATTCTTTTGATGAGACAAGCTAACAACTTCCCATATCTCCTGTGAGCGCTCACGGTAGGCACAACTCACCAATATTGGGATACATTTACTACTGTTAAATGGACCATGAAAATAATTCACATGTCGTGAGAAAATACAGAGAACAATGCAAAACTGACAAAGGAAATTTGTTTAAATGATAAGCACTTTACGTGGCTCCCATATTTTTGAATCCCATCTCAGCGAAATTTTAATGTAGTTTGCTTTCCAATTTTTTACTATGCAGTAAGCCTACGGAAACCTTTGTGTGTGTCTAATTTTCTATTAAAAAATAAGTCATGAAATTGCATGAAAAGTTGTACACACAGCAACGTTTCCGACTAATGGTATTGCTGTTTCCTCCCGAAGAAAGCGGAAGGAAATCGATTTGTTTGTGTTACATTAAACAAAGTCATAAATCTTCACTGAGTAAAAGTCTGCAACTGCCAGTTGCCCATCTGCTGTGAATGTGATTCCCAGGGGATAGTGCAGACCCTCTGCGATGCAGTGGAGAAAGCCACCTTGAGGGTCATAGTGGTGGATATGACCGGTGTCCTCATCATCATTATGCATTGCAACATAGACGCCTGTGCTATCTGCGCATACACCAGTACAGCGTCTAACTACCTCACCATCGATGGTAGGTTTGATGGTGAACAGTGTATCACCATTCGTACCAACAACACCGACTAACTGTTGTTTACAGTCACTGATTACAACTCGATCATTGCTGTCAACAGCCACATAACAAGGTTTAATCTTGACTGGGATGGTGCTTCTGAGTTCGCCATCAGTGGGGCTGTGTTCGGTCAGCACCATCCTCTTGACATCACCAACCACAATGGTCCCATCCGTCTTGGCTGCTACACTCTGGAGGTCCACTGCGGTCTTATCAACCTCACTCGGTGGCACTGTGGGGAACTGGAAAGCCAGCGTATTGTCCTTGTCAAAGACTTTCACGTAAGATGCGCTGTGCTCAACAACCACCAAGAGATTGCCGGTGCGTGTAGCTGCAATGCCACGTGCCCCTGTTTGGAGTTGAAACACAAAAAGAAAAGCATTAACCAATCACCCGCGTTCATCTTAACCCACGTTCATCTTTACCCACGTTCATCTTAAACCACGTTCATCTTAACCCACGTTCATTTTTACACACGTTCATCTTAACCCACGTTCATCTTAACCCACGTTCATCTTATATATATAAGAGTTATAAAGCCAGAGACCTAGGATCAATCCTTGTCCCTTCCTAGACAAATAGATCCCGGGAACCTGGAATTATTTACTATGAAACATTAAATATGAAGTTCACGGAAGAAGTGACAAAAACAGCTAAACGTTTAGCTACGTCCATGCATAGCAAGTGAACAAGGATTCATGTTTTTAAGAATCCATGCATTGCGCAACTAAACTGCCCTGTAGTCTTTTTTGGACAGTTGAAAATTCTTTGAATAACATATCCTGCAATATCTGGAAAAATAAACATGCCGATCATTTTTTTCTCTTTGAGCCTCCTCCGTCTGGGTACCATGTGACTCTGCCAAAAGCCTTTAGATTTGTTATGTGGCTTGACACCAGTGGCGTATCCAGCGACGGCAACTTGCCCCCAACCGACGGGTTGTTTAGCCTGTTTGTTTTAGATTACGCCATAGGTGAGTAGGAAAGAAAGTAATCAGTATATTTGCAAGTACCAACTTACTCTTCAGCAACCGTGGTTCCTATTGTCCCCTATTTTTATAGGTGCACGATTTGAATAGGTATACAAACTCAAGGGTACCCACACACCAAAGGCTTGACACGTCGCTGTTTGACACCGAGCAATGGGAGACTTTGAGACGCATAGTGGCGGCAGACAAAACTGTCCTTTTTGGTTGATCTGGACATGTGTGTGCAGTTCTAGGAATTCGTGTTAGTTTTGAGCACGCGCACAACCGAGGAGAAGGACCAGCTTGTCTGCCGCCACCATACGTCTCAAAGTCTCCCATTCCGAAATAAATGATAATATTTTTACCACAAAACAAAGTACCAGTGTATCGTTTGTTAGCAGTTTCTATCCAAACTTACATCTTTCCATCGGGATTGTGCTTTTCTGGTTACCATCGATGCTGCAGATCGCAACTCGTTTGTTCCAGATTTCAGCCACTGCAACCTCATCAGGCTGACGAGCAGCAATGTCCCAAGCCCCGAAGAACTCTCCTGGACGGCTTCCCTCGCTGCCAAACACACATCGCTGCTCCCACTTTTCTTCCGTCATCACCTTGCCCAGACTGATGTCACCTACCCCCTC